ATGGTTAAAATTGACCCAACATACTTGAATTTAATCAGAATACAATAAATAATAACTCTTGGATGTGTGCTGTCATATTCCTGCTTTTAAGAAGGTGAAATACTTCCTTTGGAATACTTTACAAAAATCCCTTCCTACAAGATTGATGTTGTGTCATTGTGGTACTCTCCAAACGAATCTTTGCTCTAGATGCAATCAGGATACTGAGGCAATTCTACACTGCTTGAGAGACTAAATTTGCTACTGACTTTTGGAAATCTATTGTCTTCTTAGACCCATTGCTACTGAAAACCCGAAAGGGCGGTCCATGCAAAAGTTAGGGAATTAAAGCGTACGACTATGTCCCGTTGGATCACCCTTACGGACAACCTTTGGTTTCGACTGACAAACTCAACGGTTCTAATCAATTCAATCAACTCCAGACAAGACATCAAGTGGACAAGGCGCTCAGAGACACGAAGGTCATAGCAGAATGGGAACCCCATGGGATTATTGCATATATCTATCTTTTCTTTGTATCAAATTTTCATTTTTTACGATGACATTCTCTTACTAGGATGTTCGTCTCATTGTACAAAATACTTATTCAAGTTAATACAAAGATACTCCTTTGGAAGTGCAAAACTATCTGTTTTTCTTTATTTTCTGTGTTTTGTTTACAAAAACGTCCAATGATTTATTTTTGAACATATGCATTTGAACATTACTACTGTTTACAAATGAGCAAAATAAGAAGACAATCACTGACGGCTTTAAGAAATAGGATAATATCTTTAGACTATTCCATAAAATCCCCCACAGTATGCAGCTTAATCCCCAGCGAAACAAAACTTCCAGTTATCACTCCCCGATAGAAGTCGCCTAATTTCTCAGGATTTCCCAACAGATTTCATAAGCTATACACGACGTTTCCCTTACAACAAAGTTTATTTCTCTAATAAATAGGAGCTCATAAACTCATCATCACTTCAAAACATGAGGACTTACACTCCACTTCCCCAACAGCAGTTGGAGATTTATTTTCCCTAATCCAACAATGTTACAGTAACACAACTTATATGCCTATACATCGCATCCATACGTCAGGGCATTGAAAACATGAACGCATACAACATAATCTCATTCATTTGTTAGGACATCATGGTACAATGCATTTCATACATCATGGCATTGCATACAACTAATCTTTCATCTTTTCAGGAAAGATCAGTCAACAGATGGTTATTATAAATATTTTTTTTATAAAAAAAGTCAGAGATTGATACCTGAAATAAGTCAGGACGATTATCTACACGACCAACCGAGCTTTCAGATACAATTCAGATACGCTCCAGATACAGACACCATTTTGATACTCGTTCAGATTCATATTTCAGATACAGTTCAGATACACTCCAGACACGGATGCCATTCTGATACTCATTCAGATTCAGCTTTCAAATACAATTCAGATACGCTCCATACATGGACGCCATTTTGATACTCATTCAGATTCAACTTTCAGATACAATTCATATACGCTCCAGACACAGACGCCATTCTGATACTCATTCAGACTCAACTCTCAGATACAATCCAGATACGCTCCAGACACGGACGCCATTCTGATACTCATTCAGATTCATCCTTCAGATACAGTTCAGATACGCTCCAGACACAGACGCCATTCTGATACTCATTCAGATTCAACTCTCAGATACAGTTCAGATACACTCCAGACACATATGCCATTCTGATGCTCATTCAGATTCAGCCTTTAGATACAATTCATATACGCCCCAGACACGGATGCCATTCTGGTACTCATTCAGATTCAGCTTTCAGATACAGTTCATATACGCTCTAGACACGGATGCCATTCAGATGCTCTTTCAGATACAATCTAGCAATCATTTTGGATGGCATCTGCAAGCCCATCTCCAACAACTTATCATCTCCCATCCAAATAGAATCTTTAAGCCCATTCCCTACACTATCAACCACCACATCCTTGAGTACAAATTCAAGGGCACTATAGTGTCCAATAATCTTCCACCTTTAAGTCACGAATGGCAAATCCGCCAATCTAACTCTTCAGATTTAAGAAGATTGAACATGGGAAGCTGCTGTACCCCAAAATTTTCCCTCTCACTTATCAATTATTTCTCACAAGAGATCTCTCTTGGTTCAAGACTGCACTAGGGTTGATCAACTCAAGACACCTCCTTAAGCACTGATGACCAAAATTAAGGTTTGAGATTGCACAAGGATAATTGAACTTTAAATGCCTCATATGACTTTCATGGATCACTATGGACCACCAATATTACTCATGTCAAGTTTCAAGCCTTGGATCACACTTTTGCTCAGTCAATTGAGCAGTTGACCTAAAAATCAATTGTATTGGAGAAAAAGTCAATTGTGGCTAATTTACAGTCAAACTTCATAATTTTTTATCCACATCAAAATTATAAACTCATATGTATCATTTTATCAAGTTTATACCATAATTTCTCAAGAATTTTGATCAAATCATCAAAAGGGAAAAATGGTCAAAATTAGGGTTTTGATTGAGGAAAGGCAATTTCTGATTTTTGACCTAGAAAATGGTCAATTGGTTTGAAGCATGATCTCAAGATTTCGATTGCATCATTTTTATCTAATAATATGACCCAAAATATTGCTCAAGATCAATTGGATTGATAGTGAATTTTCAGTCAATTGATCAAAAGTCAACATTACACTGAAAAAGTCAAACTTTGACTTTTTGGTCAAAATCCAATGTCAAAGATCATAATTCATTAAAACATGTCAAAATATGAAACTTATTCATCAAGAAATAAAAAAGTCAAGATTTCATTTTGAAAAGTCAAAATTTTCTAACTTAGAAATTTTTCTAAGTGTTTAAAACTTCATGTTTTTTCACAACTTTGAGCCAATTTTTCACCATGATGCAAGATGATTCAAAAGAAACTTTCAACATGAAAGTTGTAGATATCCATGACATATACAACATTTATTTACACAATTTATTCTAAAAATTCTTGGATCTTAAGTTATTAATTAATAAAGTCATGGTCTTGAAATTAAACACAGTGAAATTTTGCCCTATTTTTAGTCAGGATTTTGACCTAACTTCATGACACTTTTTCATATAGTTCCAAGTGAAATTTTCAAAAGTGATCCAAAGAGGGGTTGTAGATCACATTACAAGATTTCCAAAATGTCCAAGAACTCCTTGAGATCATTTGTGAGCAAGGAGAATCGAAGAGATGAAGTTAGGGTTTTCAAACTTAAATTACAAGCCATTTCATGATGAACAAAAATTCAAATCCAAGCCTAGGATGCATAATATTTGCTTTGCAGGCCTCAAACTTGTTTGGCACTCCATAATTAAATGTTTACACAGCTGTTAGAGCTTTAATCCAAGCACTTGAGCCTTTATCCAAGTTACATTTCCATTTATGGCACAAAGTTGCCATTTCCATTTTGATAAAGCATCACTTTTGCAATTGTCAACTTCTTGAGCTTTGCACTTGTTTTTTCTGCACACACAACCCCTATAAACCAAAAGCAATGTGTCTAAATCCTCTTTGAACTCAGAACATGCTTGTACAACACTTTGAAATTTGTCTTCTCACTTTTCTTCAAAAGCAAGTTATAGAGCCAAAAGGCTAGAACTCAGAAACCTTAAGTGCATTTGATCTCTAACCTTTTCCATACATATAAACAAGTCTATTGCAACATAACACATGAATGCTAAGACCCAAAAACACTCCCAAGCACCGTGCAACTCAAAATCTGCCATAACTTGACAATTTTGAACCTCACATAGCCATCTCCAAATTCACTCGCGCGTATTGAGTTTTAACCATCCAAACACTTAATATACATCATATCAAAGTGATCCAGACCCCTCTTTCCTGACTGTAATCCCTCCATCACTATCCATCATTTTCAAAACTGAAGCTTGCAACTTGACTTGAGTTAGGAGTTTCAGCCATTCTCAAAGCAAAGTAGGAGTTGGAACACACTCAAGGAGGTCCAGGCAAGCTACAGAAATCATCAGGTCATCACAAAGGTTGCTCAAACTCCATACACGACTCCAACTACAAGAGGTAAGTTTTCAAACTTCTATCTCTTCATAGAAGCATCATTTGATTCTGGTTTGTGAAGATAAAATGTAGATACCATTGTCACGAAGCTGTATATATCCATAGTTTTCATTTATATGGCCTGAGCATATAGAATTTTAGAGTTGAAATTTCTGAAATTTTTAGGTTTTAAATTAGGGCCAGAAAAATTCTCACTCATCTTTGAATGCTAGCTTAAGTTATTTACATGGTTGGATTCGTGATGAAATTTCCAACAACTTTCATGTTTGTACTTTTAAAAATGGTTGAGAAATGAGAGAGATAGCAATTTCAAAAATTGTGTTGAATGGTCTGGCGCGAGGTTGAAGAAGATACAAGCCTAAAAATGTGTTTCAAATATATATTTATGGTTTTGTATTACTAAACGGATGTATAGCCACCCCAGTGGTAGAAGCGCGCGCATGTGACTATAAGGACATGAGTTCGAGCCCCAATGGTACCCTTTTATTTTTTCTTGTTTTATTTTCACAGATTTAATGCAAACCAAGCCAACGCGTGCATCAAGTGTCCCCATCTCATCACATTCTAATCATTGCATGGATGGAACCAACGCACCACATGAATAGGTCCATGGTACATCACAATAATCCAACAACATGAGATCAAAACAGGCGTTGTGCCCTTCAGTCTTGGGCCTCTTTTTATATATTTTTGATATCCTCATACACCCTTTTTTACTAAGACACCACCTGACCCAATTTTCTTTTATTATTTTCTTTTTCTTATTTTTGTTTATTTATTTATTTATTTCTTTTCTTCTTCAATATTATTATTATTATTATTATTATTATTATTATTATTATTATTATTATTATTATTATTATTATTATCATTATTATTTTTATTAATGAAAAAAATAAAAAATATTTTTTTTTATTATTTACACTTATATATTTTATTTTTTCTATAAAACAAAAAGACTAAAAAAACATTTCTCTTAATAATTAATTTCTTTTTAATAATTAATATCTAGACATAGGTTTAATTATTTATTTTCTTAATTAAAATTAATTTAGAACTTAGGTTTATTTTAATTAATTAATTTTCATATTATTTTTATTAAGTTAAAACCTTTTCACAAAAAAACCCTAAAACACATTTTTTAACTTAATTTCTTTCTTAATTAATTTAGGTTTAAATTTTGTTTATTTTTCATTAATCATCTCTCTTAATTAGGTTAAAATTCCTTTCATTAAAACAACAAAAATCATTTCTTTTTCCATTTATATTCTTGCATTTTATTTTCAATTTTGTACAATATTCAATATAGTTGTAATAGATAATTAGGTTTAATTTTTTTGTAGTCCCCATTTGTAAATTTGTACACCCCCTCCCCTAATGATGTAATAGCATAGTGATTTTACTTTTCGCAATTTATCGCTTTATATAAATGCTAGTAATTAGGGTTTGTATGGAAAGATAAAATCAACAAGTAGCAAACCCTAATTCAAGACAAAAACAAAGCATGAAATCAATGCACTTGCACACAAGAACCCCTAGGGGAAATCTACTTGGTTTCCTTACAAAAATGACCATATTATACATGTGAGGTATCTTAGCAAAGACAAGCAAAATACAAGATCATATTCCCTCGATGACACTATCAAAGGTTGCCTTTCAAAATGATCTTAGTCCCTAAAGAAAAGTGCTAAGATACCTTACAACATTGCTAATCATGGTTATACGATGACCCACACTCGTCCCTTTTACATCCAAAGATAGGGTTACTTACCAAATCAATGGTAAGATAATAATGTCAAAGGAAAAAGGAAATGAACACGAAAGACTTTTGAGTAGGTAGAATGTTCCTAGTTACTTGCCCCATTTCAAAACAAAGACATCCTTGCTATTTTAAAAACAAACACCAACACTTTCAAAATATCTTTCAAAACTTGAAAACATTTTCAAAAGATCAAACACTTTGTATACATTCTTACGAACGAGAATCATTACAAGGTTCGCCTAAACAATGACCTTTTTTCAAAAATACTTTCAAAACCACACAAAGCACATTTTCAAACAAAAATAAGTGATCTAGCAAGTAACTAAGAGCCCATGGAAAACCATGGATGAAAAGGGTGCTAACACCTTCCCTTTTCATAATCTACCCCCCGAACTCAAGAAATAATCTCAAAGGTCTTTCCTGTGCTTTTTCACCTTTCCTTTTGGATAAAAGAAAAGTCGGCGGCGACTCTTGCTAACCGCAACATTTGCGATCAAATGCAAAACACCCAAGTCAGTTCTCCCACCGTATCACAGTTCCCCTTGATCTTATATAACTTACGCCAATTGTTAGGCTATGGTCCCACGATGTTCGCCTTGGGTTTGATGGTTAAGAGATGTTATGCATGTGAAGGACTTCCTACCATATTTGTTCTCGACGAGTGTTCAAAGGAGTAAAGCTCTCCACATGATTTCCACCTTGCTCTAATGTTATTTTGTATCACATAGGCGACATGTATTGGTTCCTTTATGAGTTTTCTGTTTAGGGATTATGCTATTTTGCATCATGGGCTTTGTTTTTAGCATTGCTCTCATCAACCTTAATGTAACATTACGCCCGCGTCACTACTTCTTCTAAAGAAACTACTGGTATTTGAGAGATAAATTCGTTGAAATGTCCCGTCCTAAGCCCGTTCTGAAATGCTCCTAAGGATATTTCTCGATTTGGATGGACTACCTTGATGGTTGCTTCGTTGAAGCAGACGAGATACTCCCTCAATGACTCTAATGGCCCCTGGCAGATCTGTCAAAATGGGATACCCGACCCTAAACGGGTCGGTCCCGACGTGCCTCAGTATTTTTAGGGCAGAGACAAAAAAACCTATTATAATATGGTCACAAACATTACTATCCGAACCCGATCCTATATATGCTTCAGGCAATCCGGTCCTAAACGAGCCATTTCTTTAAATTAATTTTATACAAAAATGAATATAAAAACCTCATAATATTTATTATAAGTAAAATAAAGAATTATATTATTTTAAATATATTATATTTTGTAGTACTATATTTATTTTTATTTATACTTTAAAATATTTTTAAATATAATAAATGTCAAAATTTTATAAACTAATACTCAAATACTTAATATAAGAAAAAGTAATAGAATATAAGGAAATTGTGAAATAAAACTCAAAAGAATTGAATATTACTTTGATTATATTATTTATATTATTGTATAATATTTAAATGAGATAAAATTTAGAGAGAGGTAAGAAAAATTAGTGTCTTGTTATAGAGTGAGACAACATAAATATCAATATAATTTTTAAAATGTATAGTTATGTGGCCTAACGGGCTACCCGTGACCCATAAAAGTTAGCCCTAATGGGTAGCAGACTTTTTAGGACCGGACTAAAAAATCCTTGAAAATATGGGCTCCAATTTTAAGGCGCAAGTCTTATAAATTTTCGGTCTTGGCGGGCCAACCCATATGGGCTATTCTATTTTGACATCTTTAGGCCATAATGTATGTTTAATAGATTGGTGGCAATCAACTTCCCATGTCTGCTTGCGGCAAATTATTGGACTACCTTCATCACCAAATCTTAATAACTAGTAACGGAGAGCCTGTAAAGGCTCATATACCATCTCATGGTCGCGTCTCTAATGGTGTATGCCAAGATTTTTCAATTCTAGAAGTCAGATGCTCCAATAATGGTCATATGAGTGTTGATGGAGGCCACATGCTCACATGGGTTACTGCATCCATCGAACTTAACCAACGATGGCAACTTGAGGTTTTTAGGGACAGACACCTCCTATATCTCGTCCGATAGAGATCGGTGATCCAATATTTCTAATTCATACACCATATCAGTTTCTTGCTCGCGCTAATGGATATGAAGAACATTATCCTCCAAGGTATGATTCTGGCAACAAAGGTCTTCCATAGCAACGCACATTTATGCTATGACACTTTCCTCACCGTTAAATTTCTTATTGGCCGAATTCGTTGTCTTTTTGTTCACCATGGTGAAGGATGAACGGGAAGACAATACTCTAGTTGAATATTGTGATGGTTGTCCATGTTTGTTTTGCCGAGGCCCTACCGTGAACTTCAATTGTACTTGGTAAAAGTACAAATACGTGATAATCCCTAGTGATTAAGGACTACCAGAGGCTTAATGGTTGTTATGGTATTATGAGCTAACTCATGTGAGATTAAAAGCTACTGTATGCATGTATTTTCCTAATATTCTTTCCTTAGTTCTCACGACCCTGATGTATTTGTTATTTCCTGGACTCGACACCGAGTCTTTCTAAGATGTAGTAGCCACTCCAGAAGAGGGTGATTGATTCCCTAAAAACTAAGAAGTGCAGTTAAATCTCACACCTCTTATGTAATGTTTGTTGACTCAATATATATTTTACACACGATCACACGTTATGGACTGAGATACTAAGTGTCTCGACGATATATATGCAAAAGGGACACTCCAACTAATATAAAAGCGGCTTAGGAAAACCAACGAGCAAAACATACACCTTCACATTACCTTTAGGATCCCTTATATTTATACCAATGTAAATTTAATTTTTAAAACCCAAAAATATAAAAATATAGTAAGTAATTTACAAAATATGTTTAAATTTGTTGATTGGCCTTTTAAAGCATATTAAAAATATTTAGAAATTGATCTATTTAATTGATATTTTTTATATAATAATTTGATTTAATGTTTAACACGTAAACTTATGACTTTATGATTTGTTTTTTTTAAAGAGTTATATTATTAATTGATTGTGCTTGTTCAATTTGGAGGAATTAAATTTTAATGTTAGACTAATTCAAATTAATTTTGATGAACAAAAATTATCTTTTTGATTGATTGCGCCTCTTATTCTTTACTCTTTATTTGAGTGAATCAATCACATCTTAGTTGTAAGATAATTCCTACTGCATAGAAATCTCGAGAAGATAGAAAAATGAATTGGAGAAGAAAAGAGAAATTAGAGTTTGAAAGAAAAAGAGGAAGAAGACAAATATTCTGCAGAGTTTCTCTCTGTCTATGAAACTAAAATTTTATTCAACTTTTCCTCAGACTTTATAATTATATGATACCTCTCTATTTATAGTTGAAATTACTTGCACACCAAACAATCTCTAATTAACTCAGTTAAAACATACAAATAAAGCTAATTTTAAATTTGTCGAAGTTATCTCGTTCAACAACTATATATGACTCGACTAGTACATACATTTCGACAACTACTTACTATATTAAATTCTTTATCAAATATAATTAATAAAAATTCTATCGAATTTCCAGTTTAATGCAAAAAATTAGACTTTCAACACAATTAACAAATATACATGGGGAATCAACAGAATATAGTTAATGCAAAAGATATATGATTAAGTTGAGGAGTTTAATATTTTTGATAGTAAAAAAAAAGAAAAAAAGTATTAATTAATTATTTAAGTGGGACCTATAGTAATCAACGAAGACATATTATGACCGCTTATAAAAATGATCCTTATCCGCAACGTTTCTGAATTTCCTATTGGGCATTCTAATACAGCTATTCCACAAACCCATATCTCTTTTTCTGACTCATCCTTTACTTTTCATATTTATCCCATTCTCTCTGTTTCTGATCCATTCCAACAACAGTAATCGCTGTGCTTTCACGCTTATTCCTTTTCGATTCCACCGAGGAACCATTCTAACAACATGTTTCACAATTTTACTCTTGTTGTTATGGACATTTTGGGAAATGTTTTTGCCTTCATAGCTCCGCTGTGGATTGCGGTTATCTTCGGTGTTGTTGTTGGTTGGGCTTGGAAACCGAAATGGGCTATTGAACCGAATAGCTACGATTGGAGTACTTTCTTCAAGTTTCGGGTTCCTTGGAGTAATGACTCGGAGCTTCTAAATCAACCCAACAGGTTCATTTGGTTTTCATTTAATTTGTACCCGTTTTTAGTTGGGGTGTTTTTTTTTTTTTTTTGAACTTGTGCATGTTATGTGTAGTTCTGGTGGTTCTTCGGAGAGTGAAAAGGGATTGAGGTGTTTAGTGACGGAAGGTGATTTGCAGAATTTGTGTAAGTTGGTTGAGGAGAAAGATGGTGGACCTGCTTGGATTCAGATGATGGATCGTTCTACTCCTACCATGAGTTATCAAGCTTGGCGGAGGGACCCTGAGGTAGTGTGCGTTGTGCTAGCTTCATTCGATTATATTAGTGTTGAATTAACAATTCAGTAGTGGAGATTGTATTTTACTTGTTGCTTAAAGTGTTCATATTTTTAGATTAAGTTAATTATTTAAGCTACATATTTAGAATGAGTGTGTTGTTTTTGTTTGCTTGTTAGAGTGGACCGCCACAGTATCGCAGTAGAACGACGTTTGAAGATTCGACTCCTGAAATGGTTAGGGATTTTTTTTGGGATGATGAGTATCGACTGGGGTGGGATGATATGCTTATACATGCTTCAACTATTCAAGAGTGCGAGGTCACTGGAACAATGATTGTGCAGTGGGTGCGCAAGGTTAGGATGCAACTTCCTTCTGTTATGTGTTGTAGCCTTAGCTATGATTATCAAGTGTCTTTCTTGCATTCTCATGTTCTATTGTTTGCTACAGTTTCCCTTCTTTTGCAGTGATAGAGAATATATCATAGGTCGTCGAATTTGGAATGCAGAGCGAACTTACTACTGTGTCACTAAGGTATGCAATCACAGATGCTGTTATTTTCTCTGTTGGCGTCTGAGTGTGCTGATCTTATCTTCTCACGAAGTCTTGATAATATGTTGTGCATTGGGATTTGGGATTGTGTACATTTAGATATTCTCATATTTTCCTTGAATAATTAACCAACTAGTTTTTTGCTAGCTTTTTCATCAACATTGTTATAATGGGAAGATGAAATGTTAAATTTGTAGAACTTTGTATTGCAATACAATATGGCATAGTGTTTCGTAGTAACATTTGACTCGAGTTGTGACCAGTATCAAACTAACAAAATGGAATTTAATAAGCTATTTCCTATTTCAGATAAAAGCTCTTAGATAATCGTTATAATTCTCAATCTCGACTAGTTTTCTATATTAACTAGCCCTATTTCACTTCTTCAGGGAGTACCTTGTTCCTCTATGCCAAGGCAGAACAAACCTAAAAGAGTGGATCTTTATTATTCAAGCTATTGTATTCGTGCAGGTAACATACGGTTTAGTACTTAATTCTTGAAATTACTCTTTATTAATTGCGGTTTTACAATCAATTGACACTCAACTCACGTGCATCTGTTGCGTATGTGAACCAGTTAAATCAAGAAAAGATGACCAGCGGACTTCATGTGAAATTTTATTGTTTCACCATGAAGATATGGGCATACCCTGGGAAATTGCTAAACTTGGAGTTCGTCAGGGTATGTGGGGAGCTGTCCAGAAGTTTGATCCCGGACTACGTGCGTATAAGAAAGAAAGGGATTCCGGTGCTCCATTGTCGCGAAGTGCTAAAAACGCCAAAGTCCACACCAAAGTAACTACCGACTATGTGAGATCTTTGGAAGACTCAACCAGTAACTTATTGGAGATTGAAAATCAGGATTCTTCCGACAAACCAACAGGGAGAAACATACCTAAGCTTCTAATTGTTGGCGGAGCCATTGCCCTTGCCTGCACCCTTGATCAAGGGCTAGTGACTAAGGCAGTTATATTTGGAATAGCAAGAAGGTTTGGAAAATTCGGAAGGAGGTTGTGACATGTGAGATACGATGTTATATGTTTTTTGTCGAGAAAATACTGGCCATTTAATTTGTGGCAATAGAGTTAGAAACTGAGATGTGACATTCTTGCCTTAAATTACTGTTTACTCTGTATCTAGTTGGCAGCCATGGTTCAAGAGAAATGATATTATTCTTTTCTCTATTTGTTTGAAGATACATGCGGTTTTTAGGTGGAAATATGGACATTGTATATTAGCCCTTGAAGACCCTTGTGCTGCATGAATAATATTCAGGTTTTTCTTGATTCAGAAGATTTCTTCATTTTTTTTTACTTTTTGTAAAATCATCTTAATGCAGATTATGGTGGTTTTCAAGGAGTCATTGGATAAACTTGTAAAAGTAGAAATATTAAAAGAATATTTCGTCAAGAATAAATATGAACAATAATCTCTTTTGCATAACAGCTTCATCATCATGAATATATAAGTTTATGAAGATATAATAAACTAAGAAACGCTATATCTATTTTGATTAGGAAACTTGCGTAGTTTAGAGGTAAGTTTTCTTTTCTCGGGCCAACATTTCATTATAAGGATTTGTTTTTTTTGGGCATTACTCTTTAGGAATTTCTTAATGCACTATATCGATTACTAGCACATATCGGGAAAGAGAGTGTAATTTTTGCATTAAAAATTAAAAATCGTAGTTGAGAGAGAATTTGTAATTTTTTCATTCAAAAATTATAATTGAGTGAGTTTGTAATTTTTTCATTCAAAAATTGTAGTTTAGAAAGAGTTTGTAATATTTATATCTAAAAATTATAGTTGAGAGAATTTGCAATTTTTCCGTAAAAAATATTGTAGTTGAGAGAGAATTTACAAATTTCCATTAAAAAATTACAGTTCAGAGAGTTTACGATTTCTTTTTAAAATTGCAATTGTGTGAAAGAGTTTGTAATTTTGTTTTGTAAAAATTTAAAAGTTAAATAATGAATTTGTAAGTTGTTTTTGTTGTTGTTGTTTTTTCTCTCCCTTTTTTCTTTCTTTTATGAGTATGCTTCTATGTGTAGATTTTTGTTGTTATTTTCCCATCAACTGGTATCAGAACTTGGTTCTGATCATATAAGGAAGGAAGAGTAATAAAAATTAGGGTCACACAAAAACATTGAAGAATAATGATTTTACAAATGTGGCTAATCATTATAATGATCTTAAACATTTTGAAAATGAAGTTAATGACAATTTATAAAGTGATGATATGTAAGACTTTGGATGAAAGGATGAGTTGTTGGGTCAAATAGTATATTCATCCAAATCACACATCGAATAGTAGAAAAAAAAATATAATTGGAGTATTATTATATATGCGAAAAGTTAGTTCGAGTTTTATTCACCACAACAAAATGTAGTCTTGTGAGTGTAATGGAGTTTTACAACATTTTAAAAATCGGACCGAACTGGTTGGACTAGAAATCAGAGATGAATTCAGTTGAGTCAACCACCTTTTAAAACTGTTAGTAGCTCAAAATTAGAATAAATTGAAAAAATCGAATTGAACCGTCCAAAACCAATCAAACTAAAAAATCGAAGCCAATTCTGTAAAGTCGTCCTATTCAAAAAAATACATCGAATTGACCATTAAAAAAAATTAATATGTCAATATAAAAACTTAAAATATTATGTTATTTATTTTTGGTATTCTATCTTATTTAATTTAATTTAGGTATTCTTAATTATTTGAACTTTATTTTAGTTATTATGCTCTATTATTTTAATTTTGATTTGAGTTAGTTTAATTTTTTCAAATTATTCTTAAATGAAGGTTGAAATAAGTGTATAACTATATTGTGTTATTATATATACTATCGATATTGTTTTATTAAATTTATTAAAAAAATTATTTTATTAAGCTGTGAACATATGATTATGTGTGACATATCTATGAAATTTAATTTCATATTAATAGTTTATTTAATAAACGGTTCGACCGTAAGTTTAATCGGTTGAATCAATTGAACCTTAAATTAGAAGTTTTATCGGTTCGATCTCCGATCCGATTTTTAAAACATTGAGTTTCGGTAAATGTACCGTCATGTGAGAGTTGCTAAGGTTTACAATTTTTCCATTAAAAAATTGTAGTTGAGAGGGTTTATAATTTTTTCGTTAAAAATTATAGTTGAGAGAGAGAGAGAGTGTTTTTATTTTTTCCGTTCAAAAATGATAGTTGAGAGAGTTTTCAATTTTTTCATTTAAAAATTATAGTTGAGAGAGTTTTTAATTTTCTGTTCATAAATTATAATTTGTAGGGTTTGTATTTTTCTCCTTAAAATTACAATTGTGTGAGAGTTTTAATTATGTTTTGTAAAAATTTAGAAGTTGAATAGTGAATTTGTAAGTTTTGTTTTTTTGTTTTTGAAATTTTCTTCTTCTTTTGTAGGTATGTTTCACTGTATAGATTTTTTTGTTATTTTTTCCACCACTTTCTTCATGAAAAATTATGTTGACCACCTGAATGCAGTTGTGGATTCTACGAGTGATGATGCACGAGTTTCATATCATAGAAGTCATATTTCATGATTTTGGTTTACAAAGTCTTTTTTATGGACAAAAGTGTGTGGTATGGTGATATTGTCTACATTAGATACTTCATTGACTTAGAGAGGATTCACAAGTATAGTTGTAGGACATTTTTTTGGTGTACCTCTACTCAAAGTTAGTTAAATGTAGTTATTGAAAGACAAGACAATTGATAGTAAACAAGTGTCTATTTACGATAATTATTTTTCACCTTTACTGATATTAATTTCGTGATACATGTGCTACATCGTTACTAATATTTCCTCTGAATCATTTTCAAGCATAGTTCCACTGGCATTTTTCACATCTTCCAACTAAGAATATGTTTAAGACTACTATGAGGAATTGCCACATGCGTGCTCCATTTTCTCACTTAGGGGGAATCAGGCGACCGAGTATTTTCGAATTTCACTTGACTACATTGTGTTAGATGACACATGTTTCATGTTGTACGGTGAGCACCATCAGACACAACTCTTAAAGATGATATCATATATTCTAGATGGTTGGCTTGTGGGTCTATACTTATGTATCCACATCTCTTTGAGTGAGTATGTTGTACCCTAAAATTTTCCCTCTCATTTATCAAATATTTTCTCACAAAGATCTCTCTTGGTTCAAGACTGCACTAGGGTTGATCAACTCAAGACACCTCCTTTAACACTGATGACCAAAATTAGGGTTTGAGATTGCACAAGGATAATTGAACTTTAAATGCTTCATATGACTTTCATGGATCATTATGGATTCCCAAGATTACTCATGTCAAGTTTCAAGCCTTAAATCACAATTTTGCCCAGTCAATTGAGCAATTGACCTAAAAATCATCTGTATTGGGAAAAAAGTTAACCATGGCCAAATTAAAGTCAAACTTCATATTTTTTGATACAAATCAACATTATAAACTCATATGTATTATTTGATCAAGTTTGGACCATAATTCCTCAAAAATTTTGATAAAATCATCAAAAGGGCAAAATGGTCAAAATTAGGGTTTTGATTGAGGAAAGGCAATTTATGATTTTTTGACCTAGCAAATGGTCAATTGGTTTGAAGCATGATCTCAAGAGTTCAATTGCATCATTTTGACCTAATGGCATGACCCAAAATATTGCTCAAGATCAATTGGATTGATAGTGAATTTTCAGTCAACTGATAAAAAGTCAATTGTACACTGAAAAGCCAAACTTTGACTTTTGGTCAAAATCCAATGTCAAAGATCACAATTCATCAAAACATGTCAAAATATGAAACTTATTCATAAAGAAATCAAAAAGTCAATATTTCATTTTGAAAAGTCAAAATTTTCTAAGTGTTTAAAACTTCATGTTTTTTCACAACTTTGAGCCAATTTTTCACTATGATGCAAGACGATTAAAAAAAAACTTTCAACATGAAATTTGTATATCTCCGTGATATCTAAAACATTTCTTTACACAACTTCTTCTAAAAATTCTTGGATCTCAAGTTATTGATTCATGAAGTCATGGTCTTGAAATTAAACACTTAGTGAAATTTTGCCTTAGTTTAGGCAGGATTTTGACCTAACTTCATGGCACTTTTTCATATAGTTCCAAGGGGAAATTTCAAAAGTGATTCAAAGAGGGGTTGTAGAGAACATTACTAGCTTTCCAAAATGTCAAAGAACTCCTTGAGATCATTTGTGATCAAGGAGAATCGAAGAGATGAAGTTAGGGTTTTCAAACTTAAATTACAAGCCATTTCATGATGAACAAAAATTTAAATCCAAGCCTAGGCTGCATAATCATTGCTTTGCAAGCCTCAAACTTGTTTGTCACTCCATAATTAAATGTTTACACAGCTGTTAGAGCTTTAATCCAAGCACTTGAACCTTTATCCAAGTTACATTTCCATTTATGGCACAAAGTTGCCATTTCCATTTTGATAAACATCACTTTTGCAATTGTCAACTTCTTGAGCTTTGCACTTGTTCTTTCTGTACACACAACCCCTATAAACCAAAAGCAATGTGTCTAAAGCCTCTTAAAACTCAGAACATGCTTGTATAACACTTTGAGATTTGTCTTCTCACTTTTCTTCAAAAGCAAGTCATAGAGCCAAAAGGCTAGAACTCAGAAACCTTGAGTGCATTTGATCTCTAACCTTTTCCATACATATACACAAGTCTATTGCAACATAACACAAAAATGTTAAGACCCCAAAACACTCCTAAGCACTCTGCAACTTAGAATATGTTATAACTTGACAGTTTTGAACCTCACATAGCCATCTCCAAATCCACTCGTGCGTATTGAGTTTTAACCATCCAAACACTTAATATACATCATATCAAAGTGATCCAGACCCCTGTTTCCTGACTGTAACTCCTCCATCACTATCCACCATTTCAAAATTTGAAGCTTGCAACTTGACTTGAGTTGGGAGTTTCAGCCATCCTCAAAGCAAAGTAGGAGTTGGAACACACTCAAGGAGGTCCA